TAGTGATTAAATGACCCCTTACCCTCGGCAGGTTTGCGGAATTCCCTCGGGCTTCGCCCTCGGGAATTCCGCAAACCTGCCTCGGGTTACGGGGCCATTTAATCACTAATCTCCCTCAAGCCATGCTATTACTTATAATTATATTTATACTGTTATAGTAATGGCGAGGACGACAATGACACAAAAAGACAAAAGAGAATGAAAAGTACGTGCAAAATACCCATACAATATATAAGACAATATAAAATACTTCGTATGTTGTTTATTAATTGCACGGCCGGTTAAAATGAATGATTTTAGTTCGGGCCGTAACTATAGACGCGATAATTGGGGCGGGGGGTATATTCATATACCATGTTCACATACCGTAAAAACAATCTCTTTTCAAAAGAAATCCGTCGGGCAGAACACGAATATATGAGTATGCACCCCTCCCCCTTCCCCCATTAAGCAACCTACAGTAGAACGGCTACGGCAACGGCAAAAATATAATTGCTTATAATGTTGTATTTGCGCCAACGTTTACGTTACTACACTTAATTTGCCTCTTTACGTTTTCCTGTTTCTCTCAAACAGCCCTTAAGTAAAAATAGTCCGCGAATTCAAATAAAACACCTCAAGTAACATCGAAAGAATTAACTGTTGCCGTAGACATGCACCGTGAAAATGTGCAAATCACGTACTAGTTTCAACAACTACGACATTGCACAACGCTTAAGATCATGTAATTTACATTCGCCTTTGTCTTTGAGGATCAATGCTATTGTTGATGACCACGTTGCCGTTGCCATTGTATTTGCCAGACTCCCTAATATCATGTCTAGGTACGGCCCTGATTTTAGTATATCTGATTACAATTTTTGTCTACTTACCATCATGCTTTTTCGTTATTTCGACAATATATGGGGGTTTAATAATTTGACTACAATCATGAAAAAGCCTGTCCAAATTAAGTAGTTAAAATGTGATGAACAAAATTCAGTATTGGCCACCAAAAATTCAAAATCCTAAGTTTTAGAAGTCTCGTCAACTCTCGTCCTTCGTTCGACCGGTTCTTTTTATACGTCAGTATAGAGAATATAATCACGTTTTTATAACGATATGCACAAGCTTCCGAGAGTTATTGTTAATATTTCTATATCTCTCATGCAGGATACAATGCTCGCTATATTCTACGGAACTGGATGGCAGAAAAGGCTATAAGAATGGCGGAAATAGATGATTTTTCAGAGGTTTGATTCGGCTTCTCTTTTTCCATGTGTTCAACCAAATATATGTTACAGTTAATGTATGGATAAACTATAAATATGATTTTGTTTTAGGTTCGAAATTTGCTTAGAATTATTCAAAATCCGTTTGTTAAGCAGGTAAGAATAACGCTCGACACAATATAGTATTACTTATAATTTGAGAAATTATCAAGAAAAAAATGAGCAAGGTATTAAATTATCCGATACGAGGTCCACGTCAGTATCTTGCGAAACCGAAAAATTCACAAAAACTCTTAGCTCTGACCGAGGCTTACAGTGAAATAATCCTATTTTTTCTGGTCTGCAAATCTATAACCGTAACGTAAATGGACTCTTGTGATTCGTTGTTGAGAAATTATACGTATTACACACTACGGACCTCTCCCATTTCGCGCTAAAACAGTTCGAGGAGTGAAGACTCGAGAAAGTATAAAAACTCCACCCTGTCGGCAGTAAAGATCGTAAAATAAACTGAATTGACTTCATTAGACTTTGTGTTATACCCAAAATGTTACAGTACTTTTAACCGACCAAAACAATCGCAACCAAAGTTGCGTGGTCTTCCATGGCTGTCAGAGGCAGGAAAATGCTATTCTTGGGTTTCAATCACGTCTTTCAGCCTGTAGAATTTAGAATTGTTGACGTAAATTGATTCGTAAGCCAAAGCGATCTTACCTGCGTAATTTTGTTCATTTGCCCCCAAAGTAATTTAAACTATACAACTTATAGTAAAATTCGAATTCTTGAACTACTAACCAAGTCGTGTTACACGCGACTCTATATTACATAACGCGCACGAATTTCGAGAACATCGAGAAAACAGTCCTATACATGTTTTACTTTTTGAAATGAAACATGCAACCCATTCTCGAACATAAAAATCTTAAAAGATACCTCAAACGTTAGTTTAAACATGGTTTCTGCACAGGTTGAATTCGGTCAAATATTTTTTATAAATGTTGTGATAATAAATTTTTTTTAGCAAGTAAAATTTGTGGCTGCGTGTCACAATTAGATATTTTGTAAAACGATCAAGAAAATCAGTTTACCTTCGTTGTTGTCTTGTTGCATAGTAGACAACCATCTTTTGGGTCAAACCCAAATGGTTTTTGACAGAGCTTTGGACTAAAGTAACAAACACAACTGATCTCAAATTTACAGGGTGTATTAAGAAACAAGTCCCACCTTTTATAGTTAACAATTTTCCGAACACCACACTGGAAAGAAATATTGAATTTAAACTATGGAAATTGCGATTGCATCACTAAATCCATAGTTTAGCTAATATGAAAATTGCAATTAGTATGAAAATTGGATTTCCATACTATTTTCAACCAAGATCCATACGATTTCCATAGCATATAGGATTTTAATTTGAAAAAATTACAGTGCCACTCCTTATAGAATAAATTTAGTCTTATTTCAATGCTTGTTCTTTTTTTTCTTTTGAACAAGGGCTCATATATTTGTGTCTAAAATACAAGTGATAACGTGAACAATGTAACAATGTGATTTCATTGTCACGTGTGCATAACTTCTTGAATTTTCTTCTTAAATTTTAATACTGTTTTTGCCACACAAAAAAAAAGAATGATTTTAAAACATTTTAAAAGATATTCGTTTGTTTTATTCATCTCATACTCCGGAATCCTCTTCAAAAGCAATCATAAAACACTGACGTTACGTCTGTAGTCGGTGCACAGATGCCATCGAAACGCACCATAATGTGATGTGAACAGACTTAGCAACTAATTGCAAGTTTAACCGCTGTTTAACCGCTGTTTAATGTACGAAAAGTTAGTAAATTAACTATTTGTAGTCGCAGAGTACTATAGTTTCTTAGTTTTGATGAAAATTGCCAAAATGCTTCAATTTTTGGGTTATTGTTTTTTTGCAAAAAAAGCTGGTATTGATTTGGTATATTGCTTCTCAAATTTTTGATTCTCCAATTGATCAAATTTCACGCCTGAAAAAAATACTATTATTATATATATTATAATATTTATATTTATTATAATATTATTTCTATACCTTGAATTGAAATGCCTAATATCTCAAGCATAACCTATCGATGCAAAATTGGTTTTCTGGAGCCGATTAGTTACAGTTGGATTAGCGTTAACCCTCGGTTAGAATTTAACCTGCTGTTTTAGTTTGCGTATTTCTGCACGTCTGTTTATCGCAAAACTTCATAGAAGGAAACTGCTATTGATCCAGACAAGATTTCTAAAGAAATATTTCCAAATTTATAAACGAGCTGTTGGGAAGTTTGCTTTGAATTTTAGGATAACCTAGGATTAAGTTAATCCGGGTTTGAACAACTGCCCTCGAACTGCCCCCTGCGTGGTCAATAAATGAAAAGACATGTCGACAAAGCAACATGAAAAGAGGGCTGTATTAGCATATATTGTACATAACTAGGGAAAGTAGTCTACTGTTAAAACGTCGAATGAATAAGCTTTAAAGAGTCCTGGTCACCCACAATGCAATGCATGCGTTTGTTTACCTTTCTGTTATGTTGTGAGCCAGAGGCAGCCGTTTTTGTGGCCTCGAAAATGGCGGCAACAATTTAGAAACGCAACTGCAAAACGTAAACAAAAGCACGCGTTGTATTGTGGATGAGACCAGGACTCTTTAAAATAGTGGCGTAGGCAAGGGAGGGGAGGGGGGCTCTGCCCCACAAGGGCAGATGGACTACCCTTGTGAAAAGCTGAAATAAAAGCCGTAGTTTTCCCTAATCTAGAATCCTTGTTGAAAGCACATTTGAATTTAAATTTGCGCGCATAGCAGTAGTCGCGACCGACTTCTACAAAAAGGAAGACATCGTGCTATTTTACTGTTGTATTTGCGTGTACTGTACAACGTTTTACATAAACATTTTTCGATCTAACACCATTAGGCGACTAAAAAATGCCTTTTTTGGTTGTTAATTTTCTTCAAACCTCGTCCTAAAATACGTGAAATAGCGTTCTAATGAATCTAGATATTTAAAATTTTCCTGAGGGAGCATGCCCCCGGACCCCCTACATTCCTCGCGCCTTTGGCGCTGGTATTCGATATACCATAAAAATCCCAAAGTTTAGACCCTGGCTACGCCACTGCTTTAAAGACAACGGCGTCAGGATGACGGCTAAGCAAATTGTTTGAAATAAATGATTGTATGGAAATATTGTCTTGTATTTACTTTTGTATGAATTTAATACAGTTTCGAACGCGTAAAACAGAGCTTTAACCTTCAGAGCAATTTTGATCAACTCTGTTAGAAAAATTGCCTGTCACGTCTTGAAATGCTAGCGTACTTTACAAGACGTGAAAATATGCTTTTTTTTAAACATATATTATTGACTGTTGTAATGAATTTCCTTTTGTAGGAAACCGCTGAACTCGCTGGTTATGCATCACGTCGTCCGTCGTGGACGTCCAAACTACGTGTAAGCTGCTCGTCTTAAGAAAAAAAGAACTTCACGCGAAAGTCTGTCACAAATTGAGCATTAGAGAGCTTTAGATTTTATTACGAGTACGAGCATGCGAGATTCGTTATTTGCACATGATCGCTACCTTTTTACCCCTCTACGTACGCACGCCTTATAGTTATAAATGCTTGTTTTACTGTGAAACTTTTCAAAAATACCGTTGTCAATTTGGCTGCGGCTATGAGATTTACAAGGCGCCAGTACATGGTATTGATGATGGCGTACTACTGACTGAAGGAGATACCTTAAGCCTATACTGCGTATAAAGTGTACTGCATACCGTAGCATTTTCGTTTATGTCGAAGTCATTAGTTCCACACTACCGCTCAGGAAACAAGAAATACGCTACGTTTCGGTACGATTGAAGTAGAAAACTGGCTTAAAGGTAGGGCACAGTCCGTATGTAAACAAAGCATTTGTTTACATTTCGGTATTCAAAATATTGAACTTTATTCGACAACTATTTATATTTTCATGTTTCTACAGTATAGGCTAATAAATGATCGCGATACAACAATCAGGCTTTGCAAGAACATAAAATGAAATAAAAACCTAATTAAAGTGTATATATAACGGCAGGAGACTCCTATGTGCGTATGCGCAGATCAGACTGTACCCTATCTTTAAGAATAAGTCGTATCCAAATAAACGAATTTTGTAGTTGCAAGAAAGTTGTGGATTGATAGGGATAGAACTACCTTAAATTAAAATACAACTAGTACCTGATAAATACAAGAGCATCGATGTACGAGAAATATATCGCACTCGTATTCAAATCTAAAGCTCTTTATTGTTTGGTGGAGTGATTCTTCAATGTCTTATTCACCAAACAGTTTGAACTTAGGTTGGTACGAAATAACGTCGTCCCCGTCGATCATTATAAGGCCAAAAAATAATGAAGGAAATTCAAAACACAATGCATATCGAATTTCTGAATGGTTTGCTTTTAATAGCGCTGTTATTCACTGTCGAGGTCTGGATTCTATTTCCTTGTTATGCTACGTCACAAGGAAATCACATGAGATTGCGTAACAATTACCCAACATTCAGTGCGTACCTAATTCGGCGTTCAGTGAGGGTACAGAAAATTATGTGCCCAAAAATTATTGAAAAATATTTAAAATTTTTAATTGAAATCGTTACAAAAGAACGCTTAAAAGCGAAACTAACGGTTCCGGAGCAATTTGAACCAATAATTTGGTGGGTTTGCTCGAGGATTCAGTGCGATTCCCAGGAATCGTCCACGGACTCAACATGGCCGACTCCGAGGGCGAAATCGAAGATGATGCACGACTGCTCGAAGGCGATGAGGCCACACATGCACAAGAAAGTCCTTCTGGCGATCAGCACGAGAGTCAATCCAATATGGAGGAGAAGTTCGAGGAGCTATCGGGCAACATTAAAGATGGGTTTTCTTCGCTTGGCGAATTGTTGACAGATCTGATGCAACAAAAATCACGAGGCAAGCGCTCCCGCCAAAAATCAAGGTCTTCCTCGCCGGACTCGGCTGACGGCGACCAAACAACCAGCCCTAAACGGGCAAGGCTCGAGGATGAACAGAACGACGACGTAGCTGTGTTGCTTGGCGAGTCCCAGCCCCAGGGGGAAAATTCTGGCAATGACAATGAAAAAGAGTTTGGCGCAATTTTGGACAGTGTTCTCCAACAGCTGGACGAAGAACAGTTGGGGCCTGATGTGTCCGAGAAGCTTGCCCAAGTTATTAATAAAACTCTGCGCTCAAAATTGAGCGAGGAAAAACTTAAAGAAAAGCAAAACGCTTACCCTAGACCACAAAATTGTGAATCACTAGAAACTACTCGGGTTAATCCAGAAATCTGGGCACAACTACAATCTTCAACCAGATCTCGGGACATACGTCTCCAGAAAGTACAGAGCCTTTTGCTGAAAGGGCTACTGCCATTAGTTCAGCTCCTTGAAAATTGTCGACAATCGGATGATAGGTCGACTGATAAAGGAAAAATCATCAAGCTGGTACTTGACTCAGTAAGCCTAGTCGCTCAGGCAAATGTAGAGCTCAATAGCCGGCGCCGAGCATTGATTAAGCCTAATTTGAATGAAAAATTTCAGCAAATCTGTGGCGATCATGTGCCGATTACAACATTGCTTTTTGGTGATGATGTGGCCAAGACACTACAGGACATTGCTTCCACAAACCGTGTCAGCCAAAAGGTTGCAACACCTATTCGTCGGCCCAGCTATGCTCACCAAAACAACTTTAAATTAATCGGCATTCAAAAAATGAACACGGGAAGTTCAGGCCCCAAAACAACCTCCCACGTCACAAAAGGGGCCAAAGCCACTACAAACCACAGAGTCAGTGAAACTCGATAAACAGGTTAGTACCATATATTCATTTAATGATGATACTATACCACCCTTCACAGCTGGTAGGCTAAAACAATTTCAGACTGCTTGGTCAAAAATTACTTCTGACCAATGGATATTAAAAGCAATACATGGAGTGGAAATTGAGTTTCTAATGAAACCATTCCAATTGCAGTCACCTAAAGAGCTAACTGTCAGTAGTTCTGAGGAGTGCATTGTTGATAATGAAATCACCAAGTTATTAATGAAAGGGGTAATTGAGCCCACTAACCCAGAATCAGGGGAGTTTATTTCTACCATTTTTCTTCGCCCGAAAAAAGATGGGACTTTTAGGTAATTTTGAATTTGAAAAGGTTAAATGAATTCGTTGAATACCATCACTTTAAGATGGACACTATTTATACTGCAATACA